TTTTGTTCCCAGCTAGCCTGATATCTGCGTTCAAAAGTCTTTTTCTTTTTAGACGAAGGTTCGCATTGTTCAACTTGAACTTCAGGCGACTTGGCGGTCAATTCGGCGTTGCTCACATCTTGATCATGGTCACTTAATGACTCAGAACTTTTCTGCAATGAATTTGAAGCCCCATTGCTTGGAAAAAAAAAAAGCGTAATACGCTTTTGTCGCCCTGCCGTAAGTTGCCGACCCGCCATGACTTACACGTTCGGTAGACGCGCGGCAACAACAAAGGGTTTTACTTGTATCCCTGGCGTCGTGAGTTGGGAACATCCGCGACGCAGTGCGTCTTTCTGCCAATCAAATTTGTGTAAAAATTGCAACAATGTTTACTTTACATTGATTGAATCACAAAAAGAACTGAGTATACCAAGGCAATGACCCAGCACGGTTACACGGTCTTTTAGTAATCGTGGACCCAGTGATAAGCAAAATGCGCGACATGGCTCACTATTTTAGTGCGTCAACTGTGGCCCAGGGTTTGTAAAATAACGCGTCATTGCTGTGAATTTTGCGAGAATGTCGCGATGCCGCAGCCTGGCAGCAACACTGCGATCAGACAAATCATTGTTTGAAATGAAAGAAATACACGAACGCAATAATAATTTAATAAAATAATCACTCGAGGCCTCCATCCCCTGAGTCGTTTCATAACACACAATCTACCAAATTCGTTCATTATCTAAGTATCTAGTACATAATGCGACACTGAGCGTCCACCTCCATCGTGTCAGGGACCACTTATAACATTTTCTGAGCTACTGTGACAATGCTTCACCATTCCTTATTTTCCTATTATTTTATTGGGCTTTCGACCATTTCCAAACTAGTCTGAAGTTGTTGTCCTGATTTTACTCATTAAAGTGTTAAATTAATTCCAACGTCACAAACAATGGGACTGTCACACTCGTCTGCCTGACTCAGCGCGTGCGGAGATTAAATCATCATTATTTGGAAAGATAAGCAGCCTGCTATATATTATATCGATGCTATGTTTTAGACTAGTACGGTTGTACCCAC